AAAAAAAAAAAAAAAAAAACAGGGCAACTAAGTTTCTAATTTGAGGCTTTCAAACTTAGGACAACTAAGTTTGAAAGCCTCAAATTAGGAAGTAGGACAACCTAACTTGAACACAGAGAACCATAGGGTTTATTTATTTATTGTTTTTTTAAAGGGTTATTGATATCTTATTGATATAGGTGGTATCTAATTGGCTGTTGTAGCCTTAATGGTTTGGTAGAAATAGGAGTTGTTCTCTAGGTATTTGATCAAATTGAGCTTTGAGTTTAATTCTGAGGGCTGCAGTAGCTCAAAGTCTGATGGTGCTCAAATTTTCAGGAAGTACAATTTTTTGACAATTATAGCTGCTTTTCTAGTCTGGCTGTTTTAAGGGAAAAGTGGTAGCCAATACGTTTGGTTTATGGTATTTGAAGGCAAAAACAATTAATAAGAAGCTGTAGACCTAGCAAACAGGTCGCCCATTATCCACCTAGATGGGTCTCAAATTGGGTTGAGTGAATCAACTTCTTAAAAAATTAAATTTTTTTTAATATTCTCTATTTTTCTTTAAAAAATTTAATATTAATTAGTTGCTTAGTTGAAAAGATCTGTTAAATTAATATTAACATTAACTCTAATAATATAATAAATAATAATCATTTTATAGTATTTAATTTTATTTTATATTTAAAAATTTAAATTAAAAGTATAATTAATTAAAATTTTAAATTTTTTTAAAAATTAATTAATTTTAGCCAGGTCATTTCAGGTCGACCTGACTTGACCTAGTTGGGTGTGGGTAATAGTGCTCTGGGTCTTATCAGATTCTGAATTAATATCTTAGACCCATGACTCTACCCACTGTGGGTGGGTGGGGTCAAATCTTCATATCAGGTTCAATTTCGCCAGGTCTAAGGATCTGAACACTTGCTATTTTACCATACAAGGAGTTGAACTTTTAATTTGCCTAATCAAGTAGTTGAACTTCTTAATTTTCTTACTGAAGGAGTTATGAGATGCTGACATGGTTAACAGATATGGTAATTTGCTGACTTGTGAAGGAGACTACGTTTGTGGGTTGAGATGGATTAAACTTTGCTGACTGGGTATTCGTAATAGAAAAGCAATTAAAAAGCAACTTGTCCACTACATTGTACATGCTGGAAAATAATTAAATAAAAATTAAATTAAGCTGCAAAAAATTTTTGGGAGTATGAAAGTGGGAAGGTTCATCAATCCAAAACCAAACTCTACATTTCCTTTTTCTGACTTGACAAACATATATTAAACACATTTGAATCTACAGCCCACAAAGAAGAAAAAGAGTACTCAATTAAAGGCTTCATGACTGAGCACCAAAATCAATCCCTAAAAGCCCTAAAAAAGAAGGAAAAGAATACCCTTAGGAACCTCTTTCTGAGATATAACTTTTTAATTTCCACATCATGCCAATGGGCTACCACCAGTGAAGGGTACCCTTGATGAAGAGTTCATGCAAAGCCTGCCACCAGTGTTGATACAACATGAAATGGAGGGTGCCAGAAGGAAAGGACAAATAAAGGATCTGAAATTCAGAACAGGGGAGAGATAGAAGTGAGACTAGACTTATATAGTAGCATAGAAGAGAATTTGCAAAACTCTAACTGCAGAATTGGGGGAAAAGAAAAGTGTAAAAAATTTAGGCAAATTGATGGTTCTTTATTTTATTCGAAACAATTGGCAGTGGGTCCCTGAGGTTTTTTGTTTTTTCTAATCATTTTAGAATCCCAATCAGCAATTTAAGTCTATGTGAACTTCTGAGATTTTTCTTCACGTGTTGGTGAATATGGATCTGCTTAACAGATCTTTAGCCATGTCCAACTCCTTGGATGGTAAAATCAAGAAGTTCGACTACTTGATTAGGATAATTAAAAGTCCAACTCCTTGTATGGTAAAATGGGAAAAGTTTGACTCTTTATTAACAAGTTTTGCTGGTATTTGAAAATTTGAATAGAATTATCAGCCGAGGATGCATAGAATTCAAGACATGAATGATGCAGGAAAAGGTAAATTTAACAGAAGATACAGAAGATGTAGGACTTGAACCTGATTTGAGTAAAGTTGAAAATTAGACCAATGGACTATAATTAAGGGTGATGCTGGACATATTTCAGGAGGAATTTGTTACATGCCCTTGTGATGGGCTAATGATCGAGAAAATTGAGTGTTTTCATGGGATGCAAGGTTAGTATTCTGGTGTCTATTGCTATGTAAAAGATTTAAAGGATCAGCAGCGAATTGGGTTTGCTTTGATGGGGGTTTATCTGGATAGAGCAGCTGGCAGCAAGTTGTGTGTTGTTGTGAAACAATAGGCCTAGTAGGATAGGATATAAAGGGAACAAGGAGAGAGAGCAATAATGATGGAACGAAATCACATGGCATCCATGCCTCAATGACAACCAAAATACTCCCTTTTAGGAAGAGCATATAGGTGTACAATTAATCCCTAACTATTTCTTAATCCACTAGGGATTAGGCTTGATTGGGCATTTTGGCTTGCGTTATCTGCAAGAGCTTAGTTGATGTACTAAATAAACTATCTAGTATCAGTACAATAACAACTATAAAAGTTCAACTCCTACAACCTTAAACTGAATTAATTAAATAACCCTGGAGTGCATGCAGTGTAAATTACAATTCTGCCTCTGAACTTAATAGTGCAAATAACTTGTAGAATAAAACCCCAAATTGCAAAAACCAAAGTTAACAAGAAAGAATAATGAAATGCCTTTTTTGACTAGTTGCCTCACCGGGCCTTTCCTGCAATAATGAAATCATAAAATTCCTGTTGATGCTAAAACTAAATGGAACTAATAAATTAATTGGATTCAGATTAAATTTCTCAATTTTGTCTTCAGTCAGATCTTATGTATTTTAGTTTATCTTCCCCATAATGCAATGGTATTTTTATTATGTTGAACGTATGAATGATTTCTGAAACAGGAAACATGGTATCAGATCTCCTTTATCTTTTTGATGTTGCAGATATCTCGCAACATAACGACAAATGAAATGGCAAATGTAATGCGTTATAGCTACCTCAGAGGCCCTGGTGGTCGATTTAGAAACCCATATGACCATGGATGTAAGAAGAACTGTTCAGATTTCTTGATCCGTGGTTATAATGAAGATGTGGAGTATGTTGAAGATCCAGAACAATCCGAGGGAATTGGTATGAGGCATATGTCAAGGAACGCAAACATTCAAAATGGAGATGCACATACTCATACAAAGGGCAACAGCCATGTCTCCATTAATGTTAATTCTAAGAACGCCAATGGGCACCAAGGTCATGTTCATTCTTCCCATTGCAGCCACGGTAACCATGGCAAGTCAAAAATTGAGAGGGTTCCGTTGGGTTTGGGTCTTGGTCTGGGACTAGGGCGGAATAATGCACGTTCTGTTCTGACTGCATGACATCATGTGTGATAGAGAGGATTAAATGGATGTGTATTGTATCTTAAGCACAAAAATTATACAGCCTTTGTATCGTAATTTAATTGATTGTTGCTCTCTTTATTTGCTCAAAGATTGTGCAAGCAATTCTTATTCTAATCTATCTTTTTCATTTATATTTTTTTGACAGAACCCTCAAATCACCCATTTAAAAATATGGGTAGGAATGGATCCACTTTCCAAAAAAAAAAAGCAGCGACATTTGGCTTTTCAAAAGGATCGATTGACCTCAATTGGTCATTATTTGACAGATGATGTCATTACCGTTAAAATTTCGTTTGGCTTATGATGACATGGCATTTTTCTTACACCTGGAGACTACGTGTACCACTTGTGCATTTTTTTACATCATGTCCCATGCAAAAACCAACATTTAGCCTCTTATCTTACAAAGTTAGTAGGTTTTAGTCCCTCACATTATAACATGACAATTTTAGCTTTTTATTTTATAAAATTGGTAAGTTTTAGTCTTTCACCTTATAAAATTTGTAGATTTTAATCATTTATCTTATATTATGATATTTTTAATCCATCACTGATACGAATTAAAGAAAATAACCCTCACTAACATTATGTTATAACGTCCTATTAGTTCTGTTAGTTGCTTGTTAACATCTGTTAGCTGACTGTTAATATCTATTAGCATTTCGTTATAAAAAATATAAAATTTAAATTCAATTTTATTTGTTAGTTTCATTAACAGAATACTAACAGATGCTAATAGTCAACTAATAGAACTAACAGTCAGCTAATAAAACTAACAATCAATTAACAGAACTGACAGTTAGCCAACATAACTAATAGAACATTAAAATTTGATGTTAAATAAGGGTTATTTTCTTCAATTCGTACAGATAAGGGGTCAAAAGTGTCATAATATAAGGCGAGGAGTTAAAACTTACTAACTTTGTAAGGTAAAGGGTTAAAACTTACTAACTTTGTAAGGTAAAGAGTTAAAAGTGTCATATTATAAGGTTAGGGGCTAAAGTCTACTAATTTTGTGAGGTGAGGGGCTAAATGTCGGTTTTAGCCCCATGTCCCATGGGTCCCTCTCATTTTTACTTTCCACATCATTTAGGTTCCACAATATACCTAATTTCCCCATTTCTCATTTCACCAGATTAGTAATGAAACCTAATTTCCCAAATTAATTTCCTTGTAAGAAACGAAAATGAAAAATCGAAACTCTAAATCTCAAAGAAATTTATGAGAAAATCAAACCTAATTACTCATAGAGTTTTTGAGAAGATGATCCCAAACAAACTTCTAGTCTTTTTGTCAATGATCCTCCTTCACACATTCTATAGGATGACCACCAATTTTCAATAAAGAGATTTCAAAATAAGGGGCTAAGATGCAGTCGAAGTTGGTGCAATTAGAGGTTCAAAGACATACCTTGTGAGGGAGAGCAAGGAGTTGGCTTGATCCATCGTTAGAAAGGTGGAGAAAAGGCAGAGGGCTAAGGTGGCGGCGGAGGGGGGGTTAGGCACTTCATAGTCTACTATGGCTGCTTGGCCGTTTTTGGGTCGGTACGGGAGAGGTGAATAGTAGGAAGCAAGCGCTAATTCTTTTATGAGTTTTGAATTTTGGGTTGGTGAAAGGTGATGGAAGCAACTATAGGTGAGGTTTGTTGCGAACCCAGACATTTGAGTATTTTTCATTGTTCTGAGGTAATTTTTTCATTTGGATATTTCTTATTTTCATAAAATTATGTTTATATAGTGATTTGTTCTTGTTTCTCAAGAAAATTTAGTTCATTTCATTGTTTTTTGGCCTTCGAACTTCTAAAAAATATTTATTGGCATTGAAAACAATAACTGTGAGATTTCATGGGTTTCTTCTTCTTCTTCTTCATTCTTTTTTTCTTAATTATTTGCCATTAAGACTTTCTCTTTTTCATAATTATAAGCCAAGATATACGTTTGAGGAATGGCGTAATTTCATAAATTTGAGTGGATATGAAGGTTAATTTAGGAAATATTGGTTAAAAAGGAAAAAGAATGAGGTCCATTAGCCATGGTGTCAAAAAATAGCCATGTCAGCACGAGCAAACGAATTTTTTAACGGTAATAACATCAGCAGTTAAATAACGAGGTATTTGTATTGATCGATAATTTCAGGGTTTCTTTTGTCCTTGCTTTTTTTTAGAGGGTGGATTCGTCCCTACTCATATTTTTTAAGGGGCGATTTAAGGATTTTTGCCTGTTTTTTTTTGGCTATTTGTGAGATGCTCAGTAGTCTCCTTCTATTTATCAATGTAAAGGAAATTTGAGTGAGGGGAGTACAAAGTCGCACTCCAACACTTAAAAAAAATATATCAAGTAAAGAGGCAAAAATGGAGATTGCTGGTAAGGATTTTTCTTGTAGGGGAAAATGAGTATATATATAGATTTTTGTGTAAATATGGCATGTAAGACGTGTAAGTAAATCTCTTTCATGTATGGAGGAGAGATTTATTTATTTATAAGTCTTATATATTATACTTGTATAAAATTTTAATCGTTTCTCTTTTTAAAGATTTTTTAGGTAAAAAAAGATAATTATTTTTAATAAATGTAAATAAATTTTAATCATTAAAAATGAAGAGATAAATGATTGAGATTTTATATAGA